CTAATACTATACGCATTGAGGCATAGTTTACATGAAGTCTTTTCATCATGGTGCTAAATGTTCAAATGTAAATAGGAAAGTAAATGATATAAAACGTAGCCCAGCTTTAAGTCATTTAGTAGCCCAGGAAAATCTCAAAACCTTAAACTGGATTAAGATGATCCAGGATTGCTAGTGCCCTCAGGCAGCTGGCAGAAGCAAACAAAAATCCTCTCTAAATGAAGACAACATTATACAAGACCCCAAATAATTTCTAAAAATAATTTTCCAAACACATAATTCAGCATTCATTCAAATGTAACAGTACACCAAGAAAACAGCCAACATGAACAAGAAATGGCATTAACAACATGTAACAAAAACTGACTCACTGGAACTTAAGAGCAAATTACTACATAAATTATAAAATCATATTTGTTAAAAAATTTTTTTTACCACTATTGGAAACTGTTCAGTACAAATTTGGGACACACACACACACACACACACACACACACACACTAGAAATTCTAAAAAAATACTTGGTTAGTAGTTTTAGTTAAACTATTAACAATTATCAAAATTAAGAAGTCAATGAACAGATTTAAAAGCACCTTAACAAATAAAGAAAAAAACAAAGAAAAGAGAACACACACACAAAAAAACACCTTAAACACAACTGATATGGTTTGGCTGTGTCCCTACCCAAATCTCATCTTGAATTGTACCCTCATAAGTTCCACGTGTTGCGGGAGGGACCTGGGGGGAGGTAACTGAATCATGGGGGCAGGTCTTTCCTGTGCTGTTTTTGTGATAGTAAATAAGTCTCATGAGATGTGGTGGTCCGAAAGAGTTCCCTCACACAAGGTCTCTCACTGTTTGCCTCCTGTCATACAGATGTGACTTGCTCCTCCTTGCCTTCTGCTATGATTGTGAGGCCTCCCCAGTCACGTTGATCTGTAAGTCCATTAAAACCTCTTTTTCTTCCCAATCTTAGGTATGTCTTTATCAGCAGTGTGAAAATGGACTGATACAGTAAATTGGTACCAGGAGTTGGGTGCTGCTGAAAAGATACCTAAAAATGTGGAAGTGACTTTGGAACTTGGTAACAGGCATAGGTTGGAACAGTTTGGAGGGTTCAGTAGAAGACAGGAAAATGTGGGAAAGTTTGGAACTTCCTAGAGACTTGTTAAATGGCATTGCCCAAAATGCTGATAGTGATAAGGACAATAAAGTCCAGGATGATGTGGTCTCAGATGGAAATGAGAAACTTGTTGGCAACTGGAGCAAAGGTGACTCTTGTTATGTTTTAGCAAACAGACTGGTGGCATTTTGCCCCAACCTAGAGATTTGTGGAACTCTGAACTTGAGAGAAAAGATTTAGGGTATCTGGCAGAAGAAATTTCTAAGCAGCAAAACATTCAAGAGGTGACTTGGGTGCTGTTAAAGGCAATCAGTTTTATAACAGAAGGAGAACATAAAAGTTTGGAAAATTTGTAGCCTGACAATGTAGACAGAAAAAAAAATCCCATTTTCTGAGGAGAAATTAAAGCTGTATGCAGAAATTTGCATAAGTAACAAGGAGCTGAATGTTAAGCCCCAAGACAATGGAAAAAATGGTTTTGAGGGCTGGGCCCAGGGTCCCTGTGCTGTGTGCAGTCTAGGGGCTTGGTGCCCTGCATTCCAGCTGCTTTAGCTGTGGCTGAAAGGGGCTAATGTAGAGCTTGGGCCATGGCTTCAGGGGCTGCAAAACCTAAGCCTTGGCAGCTTCCACATGGTGTTGAGCCTGCAAGTGTCCAGAAGTCAAAAACTGGGGTTTGGGAACCTCTGCCTGGATGTCCAGGCAGAGGTTTGCTGCAGGTTCTCCTCATGGAGAACCTCTGCTAGGGCAGTGCGGAAGGAAAATGTGGGGTCCAAGACCCCACACAGAGTCCCTACTGGGGTACCACCTAGTGGAGCTATGAGAAGAGGGAAGCTCTCAGAACGGTAGATCTACTGACAGCTTGCATCATTTGCCTGGAAAAGCCATAGACACTCAACACCACCCCATGAAAGCAGGTGGGAGGGAGGCTATATCCTGCAAAGCCACAGGGGGCAGAGGTGCCCAAGACCTTGGGGCCCCACCTCTTGCATCAGCGTGACCTGGATGTGAGACATGGAGTCAAAGGGGATCATTTTAGAGCTTTAAGATCTGACTGCCCTACTGGATTGCAGACTTGCATGGCGCCTACAGCCCTTTTGGACAATTTCTCCCATTTGGAATGGCTGTATTTACCCAATATCTGTACCCCGCATTGTTTCTAGGAAGTTGATTTTACAGGCTCATAGGCAGAAGGGACTTGCCTTGTCTCAGATGAGACTTGATTGTAGACTTTTAAGTTAATGCTGAAATGAGTTAAGACTTTGGGCGACTGTTGGTTAAGGCATGATTGGTTTTGAAATGTGAAGACATGAAATTTGGGAGGGGCCAGGGGCAGAATGATATGGTTCAGCTCTATGTCCCCACTCAAATCTCACCTTGAATTGTACTCCCATAATTCCCATGTGTTGTGGGAGGCACCCAGTGGGAGGTAATTGAATCATGGGGGCAGATCTTTCCCGTGCTATTCTTGTGATAGTGAATAAGTCTCACAAGATCTGATGGTTTTAAAAAGAGGAGTTCCCCTGTACAAGCTCTCTCTCTTTTTGCCTACTACCACCCATGTAAGACGTGACTTGCTCTTCCTTGCCTTCCACCATGATTGTGAGGCCTCCCCAGTCACATGGAACTGTAAGTCCATTAAAACCTCTTTCTTCCCAATCCTGGGTATCTCTTATCAGCGGCATGAAAACAGATTAACACAACAGCTAAAGAAGAAAATCACAAGTTGAAAGACAGAAGAAACTACACAGAAAGGTGGTACATACAGAATAGATGATAAAAGACATACAAGTGAGGAAGACTAACATAAGTAAATGGAGCCATGGAATGAAAAGAGATGGACTGCAGCAGAAGCAAAATCTAGTGGCTAAGATTTCCCAGAATCGATGGCATCAATCCACATAGTCAAGATGTGCAAAAAATCCTAAACAGAATAAATAAATAGAAATCAGAGCCAAATATATCACAAAAACTAAAGAGAAAAATCAGTTGAGTGAGGAGAGGGGGTTGGCCATATGGGAGATAATCTTCAAAAGAGTAGCTGTTAGAATGAAATACCTGAATTCTCAATAGTAACAATGGAATCCAGAAGACAGTGCAACAGTACCTTCAATATGAGGAAAGAAAAACCACCAAGCTAGAATTCCATACTCAGTGAAAACATCCTTCAAGGTTGAAGTTTAAATAAAAATATTCATAGACAAGCAAAAATAGAATTTCCTACTAGCAGATCCATGCTAAAGCAAATACTAAATGGTGTTTTTAGGCAGAAGAAAAACCATCTCAGGAGACCAGCTGGAGATGCAGGGGAAAAAAATGAACATTACATATAAAATAAAAATATTGCCTTGTGGTGTGTAAAATACAGTTGTCCTTTCAAATCCTCATGAAATTGGTTCCAGGATCTTGACTTTCCCCTCCCTTCCCCCAATACCCCGTGGGCAAGGGTACCAAAATGTACAGATGCTCAAGTCCCTGATATAAAATGGTGTAGTATTTGCACATAACCTATGCATGTCCTTCCATACCACCTGTAGGTTAAGTATAATACCTAATATAATGTAAATGCTATATACATAGTTGCTATATTGTATTGACCTTTTATTGGTATTATTTTTAATTGTTATATTGTTATTTATTGTTTTTCCCTAATACTTTTTATTCAAAATTGGTTGAATGTGCAGATGTGGAACCCACAGATAGCGGGCCAACTGTATACCAAAAATGAATACAAAGGACAATAGCATATATGGTGGGTGCATGAAATTCAAGTGTTCTAAGAAATTTGTATTATCCCTGTAGAGGTTAAAAGTACCACGTATATACAACTTTTTGCTTTTCCTTTTTAACTGGACACAAGCTCTCATTCTGTCACCCAGGCTGTAGTGCAGTGGTATAATCATAGCTCACTGCACCCTCGAACATCTGGGCTCAAGTGATCAGTCATCCCACCACGGCCTTCCAAGTACTTGGGACTCAGGAGCACATCACTACACCCAGCTATTTTTTTTTTTTTTTGGTAGAGATGGGGTCTCACTACATTGCCCAAGCTGGTCTCAAAACTCCTGGGCTCAAGTGATCCTCACACCTTGGCCTCCCAAAGTGCTGGGATTACAGGCATGAGCCACTGAGCCTAGTCAACATAAAACACTGGTAAGTAAAGGATGTATGCTATAATTTCTGCAGGTATCACTAACAGTAAAAGCTTGTAACTTTCAAACTAACAAAAAAGAAAAAAAAATACAAAATTTTCAATTACTACAAAAGAAAATGCCAAGAAAGAGAAAAGTAAACAAAACAGGTAGGGTAAAGAGAAAGTATACAGAAAGGAAGGTAAATTTAAATCTAAATATGTGTGAGTCATTCTGTTTAATGCAAATGGAATAAATGCTTTAGTTTAAAGCCAAAACATGGGCAGAACAGATGAAAAAATAAAACCAAAGCCATAACACTAATAGTAAGTGATTCCAGACCTCAAGTCTTGGTATAATACAGGCTCAAGTTATAACTGCAAGGTTTAAAAAAATTGTAATAAAGGCCAGGCATGATAACTCACACCTGTAATCCTAGCACTTCAGGAGGCCAAGGCAAAAGGATCACTTGAGCCCAGGAGTTTGAGGCCAGCCTGGGTAAAACAGTGAGATTTCTGTCTCTATAAAAAATACAAAAATTAGCCAGATGTCATAGTACATGTCAGCAGTCCCAGCTACTCCAGAGGCTGAGATGGGAGGATCGCTGGAGCCCAGAAAATCGAGGCTGCAGTAAGTCATGATTGTGCCACTGCACTCCAGCCTGGGCAGCAGAGTGAGACTCTATCTCAAAAAAAACAAAACAAAAAAAATTAAAATTAAAGAAGAGCTTCTAATCCAAACAACATTACCTGCAGCAGCCAGATGAGCTGTTACCTCATCAGCTGCTGTGGAGTTGAGTATATCTGAGTCATCGTAAGAGGTGTCCTCAGGAGAAGAAGGCGAGTCTTCATCAGCACTCAGCATACTGTGCTCAGTGTAAGTAGCCACATGGACCTGCTGCACTTGCTGGGCCACTGCATGTGCTTCTATGGTAGCCATATGTTCAGTTTGGGTCACTCCGTGTTCCTCCATGAAGTTCTACTATCAGATGAAAAAGGAAAAGAACAGGAATCAGTGTGTAATATAACACAATGCTTAAAGATATTTTCTTCAAGAGTAGAGGAATCTTGACAAACTTTCAATTCCACTACTTACTGTGCCACACCAAGTCACAGGAAAAGGGAAAAACTATTCAAATGTGACATAAAAATGGTAGAGTGGTGTTCCTTATATGAAACCATTTTGATGGAAATCACTGTACTAATTTTATGCCTCAGATCACAGAAACAACAGATACCCTTAATAATAAAAAGACATTCAAATATAATAATAAAAAGATATTTAAGATATCTCAGTGACTAGCATTTGACCTTGTGGGCATAAAAACACTTAGTAAATAATTGAAATACTTAACATTTTATTTATATGTCAAAGACAAGTGAGGGTCAAACAACTTTTTTCCCAAAAATTCAAATTGGTTTTCTGCTTATAAAACTGTGCTTCTTGCAGGTGTGGTGGCTCGCGCCTGTAATCCCAGCATTTTGGGAGGCCCAGGTGGGTGGATCATCTGAGGTCAGAAGTTCAAGACCAGCCAGGCCAACATGGCGAAACCCCACCTCTATTAAAAATGCAAAAAAATATTTTTTTTTTTTTTTGGTAGTGGGCGCCTGTGATCCCAGCTACTTGGGAGGCTGAAGCAGAATTGCTTGAACCCAGGAGGCGGAGGTTGCAGTCAGCCAAGGTTGTGCCATTGCACTTCAGCCTGGGCGACAGAGCCAGACTCTAAAAATAAAATAAATAAATAAATAAATAAATAAAAACTGTGCTTCTTGTAAACCCCAAAATGATACAGTAATTTATAAAGCAGTAAGGTTAAAAGTTTGCTCTTCTATCACACTTAAAATCTCCATCCCCCCACCCCAGAAGTTCATTATTTTTGAAAAATAAATTTTGAGCATACATACATAGATTTAAAATAAAAACAGGTTCATACTATACATATTGTTTGTCCTTTTCATATTACAATATATCTGGACATTGTTACATGTCAAAACATACAGATCTACGGTATCTTTTTAAACAGCTGCATAATACTTTATTATATGCATGTGTCGTAATTTATATGCCAGTCGCCTGCTGACCAAATATGCTTCCGAGTTTTTGCTATTATAAAATAAACATCAATGCAGTATAAAAATTTGTCCCTATATATAAAATTTTACATATTAATTCCTAAAAAAAAATAAAAAAATACAACTACCACATGATCCAGCTATTCCACTGCTGTATATATATACCAAGAAACTGAAAGCAGGGTGGGTCTTGAATAGACATCTGTACACCCATGTTCATAGCAGCTTTATTCACAATAGCCAAAATGTGGAAGCAACGCAAGTGACCATTGATGAACACATGGGTAAAAAAATGTGGTATTCACATATGGCCTATTACTCAGTCTTAAAAAAGAAGAAAATGCTAATTAGAAAGAGGGGAACTTTCTCAACCTGATAAAGAACAAAAAACCTACTATTAACATCATACTTAATTGTGAAAAACTGGAAGCTTTCCCATTCAGATCAGGAAGAAGACCGAGCATGGTGGCTCATGCCTGTAACCCCCAGCACTTTGGGAAGCTGGGGTAGGTGGATCACCTGAAGTCAGAAGTTCGGGACCAGCTTGGGCAACATGGTGAAACCCCTGTCTCTACTAAAATACAAAAAAATAGCTACTTAGGAGGCTGAGGCAGGAGAATCGCTTGAACCCAGGAGGTGGTGGTCGCAGTGAGCCGAGATCACGCCACTGCACTCCAGCCTGGGTGACAAGTGAGGGCAAGACTCTGCCTCAAAAAAAAAAAAAAAAAAGATCAGGAAAAAGACAAGAAAATCTCCTCTCACCACTTCTTTTTAACATTGTACTAGAAGTCTTAACTAATGCAAGAAGATTTTTAAAAAGAAATAAAGAGTACCCTGAATGGGAAGGAATAAATAGAATTGTCTTTCTTCATAGATGACATGATTGTTGATGTAGAAAATCCAAAATAATCAATAAAAAACTCCTGGAACTAGTAATTACAGCAAGGTTGCAGGGACAAGGTTAACTGTTTTCCTATATGCTAGAAATGAATAAGCAGAATCTGAAATACAATATCATTTACATTTGCACCATCAAAAAGTGAAATACGAAGTAAGGTATAAATCTAACAAAATATGTACAAGATCTATATAAAAAAGAAAATACAAAATTCTGATGAAAGTAATCAAAGAAAAACTAAATAAAGAGAGATATTCCATGTTAATGGATAGCAAGACACAATACTGTCAAATCTCAGTTCTTCTTCTCTAGATTCAACATTGCCCCAATCAAAATCCCAGCGAGTTATTTTGTGGATATCCACAAACTGACACCAAAGTTTACATGGAGTGGCAAGAGACTCAGAACAGCCAGAAAAAATATTGAAAGGGAAGAACAAAATCAGAAGACTGACACCACCCAACTTTAAGACTTACCATAAAGCTACAGTAATCAAGATAGTGTGATATAGGTGAAACAACAGACAAATAGGCCAATGTAACAGAAAAGGGAGCCCAGAAACAGACCCACATAAATACAGCCAGCTCATCTCTGAGAAAGAAGCAAAGGCAATACATTAGTTGGCAAAGCTAGTCTTTTCAATGAATGGTGCTGGAAAAAGTGAACAACCACACACCAAAAAAATGAAATCTAGACACAGACCTTATACTCTTCACAAAAATTAGTTCAAAACGGATCATAAACCTAAATGTAAAATGAAAAACTAAAAAACTCCTATAAGATAACATAGGAGAAAATCTAGTTGACTTTTAAGATACAATGCCAAAAGCACAAACCATAAAAGCAAAAATTGTTAAGCTGGACTCCATTAAGACAAAAAACTTCTGCCCTGTGAAAGACACTGCAAAAATGAGAAGACAAGACACAGACAGGGAGGAAACATTTGTAAAGATGAATCAGAAAAAGGACTGTTATCCAAAAGAAGGAATTCTTAAAACTCAGCAATAAGAAAATGAATCCAATTAAAAATTAGGCTGCCTGACGAGATTTCACCAAAGAAGATATATAGATGGCAAATAGGCATATGAAAAGACGTTCAACATCATATGTCATGGGAGAATCACAAATTAAAATAAAAAGATATCACTATACATCTATTTAAATATCTAAACCTCAAAACACTGACAACACCAAATGCTGCTGAGGATGTGGAGCAACAGGAACTCTCATTGCTGATGGGAATGCAACATAGTACAGCCACTTTGGAAGACAGTATGGCAGTCTGTTACAAAATTAAACATACTCTTACCATACAATCCAGCAATTATCCTCCTTTGTATTTACCCAAAGGAGTTGAAAACTTATACCCACACAAAAACCTGCACATGGATGTTTATAACTTTATTCATAATTGCCCAAAATTGGAAGCAACCAAAATGTCCTTCCATAGGTGAATGGATAAACTGTGGGGCATCCAGACAATAGGTTATCGTTCAGTACTAAACAGAAATGAGCTTTCAAGCTATGAGAAAATGTAGACGAAGCTTAAATGCATATTGCTAAATGAAAAAAGCCAATCTCAAAAGGCTACACACTTATGATTCCAATTACATGGCTTTCTGGAAAAGGCAAAAAACTATGGGGATGGTTAAAAGATGAGAGGTTGCCAAAGATTAGAGGGAAGAGGGATGAACAGGCAGAGCACAGAGGATTTTCCGGGCAGTGGAACTACTCTACTGCGATACAATAATGGTGGATATAAGTCATTATACATTTGTTCAAATCCACAGAATGTACACCATGAGGGAACTCTAAGGTAAACTACAGACTTTGGGTGATAATGATGTGTTAATGTGGAGCCAAATGTACCACTCTGGTGCAGGATATCCACTCAATTTTGCTGTGAACTTAAAACTGCTCCAAAAAATGAAGTCTTATTTAAAACCAGTTTTTAAAAAAAAGTAAATTCTGACTCAGGCCACAACATGGATCAACCTTGAGGATATTCTGCTCAGTGAAATAAGCCAGCCACAAAAAAGAACAAATACTGTATGATTCTACTTATATGAGATACCTAGAGTGCCTACTTTCATGGACAGAAAGTAGACTAGTAGTTGCCAGGGGCTGGAAGTACAGAGTTTCAGTTCTGCAAGATAAGGAGTTCTGGAGACTTGTTGCACAACAGTGTGAATGTACCTAACACTACTGAACTGTATGCCTAAAAGTGATTATGATGGGAAATTTATTGTTATGTATGTTTTCCAACTAAGTTTTTAAATTACCCTTTACACCTGTGTAATTTCTGTGCAAAGAAGTGACTAATCTTACAGAATACTATAACTAGCCTGTATTATCTTTATTAAAAATTTTACGGCCGGGCGCGGTGGCTCAAGCCTGTAATCCCAGCACTTTGGGAGGCCGAGGCGGGTGGATCACGAGGTCAAGAGATCGAGACCATCCTGGTCAACATGGTGAAACCCCGTCTCTACTAAAAATACAAAACATTAGCTGGGCATGGTGGCGCATGCCTGTAATCCCAGCTACTTAGGAAGCTGAGGCAGGAGCCGAGATTGCGCCATTGCACTCCAGCCTGGGTAACGAGAGCGAAACTCCGTCCCCCCAAAAAAAAAAAAAAAAAATTTTGCATACTATTTGATGATTATTTAAAAAAATAATTTCTTTTCTTTAAGAATAATAAACTCTTAAACTGCTGGGTCAAAGGCATATGTATTTTAAATTCTGACATACTATGAAAAGCTGAGTGCTTTAGTTGTACACTAACACTATCTCTCATGTTAATACAAACCCACACAAACATATACACACATTTAAAATTTGACTATCACGTAACAGTATACAGCACTACACATCTGGAGTTTGCCAAAAAATGTCAACCATATGGATATAGAAATATGACCTCTATGGCTACATGTAAAAAGAATGTAATTATTTATTTATGTAAAATTTTTCTCTTATTTTGTCCTACTCTATTACAGAAGTCTTTCTCCATCTTGAGAGCTTCTGATTCTAAGGTCCTTTGTTCCTCTGAGTAACTGCTCTCTTAAACTAATCCTGCTATGTCTTTATTCTTCAGGTGATTTGTTTCTATGTAGATAACCAAATTTTTACCTTTCTGAGGTCTTTGAAAACATGGTAAAATGTTAACATTTGGAAAATCTGGGTAAAGGGTACATGGGAATTCTTTGTACTATTTTTGCAACTATTCCAAAAGTCTGAAATTATGGCAAAATTAGAAAAGAATGTTTAAGCTACCTGATAAGCTGCCCTTCCATATCCTGTTTTATGTGAGTTTCAGAATATCCAAGGGAATATATCCTAGCCCCCAGATCTGTACTAATCTAAAATGCAATTTAACACACTAAGTCAGACAATTAAATATATGGGAGGAAGATATCGTTAAAATGTTATTTTTCCATCCATTTCACTGTTTTCAAGACAAACTGCTTAGGGCATTTTAGAATTCTGAGTACTTTAAAATTATTTTTAAATGATTTGGGATTAGATGGTAGCTAATTGCTTTTCAAAGGGATTTGTAGGCTATGCACTTGACATAATGGATTTCAATTCTTTGCTCCAGAATGCAGTTCACAGCATAAATCAATAGGGCTGTCTGCTTCATAGGCTTGCCATTTCTGCCCAGGGCCTCATCTCTTTCCACTTCTCTCCCTATCCCATTCTTCGGCCTCTCTATTTTTTTTTTTTGAGAGCGTCTCACTCTGTTGCCCAGGCTGGAGTGCAAATGCAGTGGTGTGATCTTGGCTCACTGCAACCTCCGCCTCCTGGGTTTAAGTGATTCTCCTGCCTCAGCCTCCCGAGTAGCTGAGATTACAGGAGCAACACCAAGCTTGGCTGACTTTTGTCTTTTTGCAGAGATGGGGTTTTACCATATTGGCCAGGCTGGTCTTGAACTCCTGACCTCAGGTGATCCGCCTGCTTTGGACTCCCAAAGTGTTGGGATTATAGCCATGAGTCATCACGCCTGGCCTCTCTAACCAATTTTATTTAGTACACTCTGTAAAAATCAAAGGCAAAGGTATTTCTGACTTATGAATGATACTTACAATGTTTCCATAAAATCATAAAGGAAGCAGGCTGGTTAATGCCAGATATGACTGATGACATATGTCATTAACCAGCATATGACATATTCCTGGACATTATCAGACCCTACACCCCCAAGTCAATTTAGTGAAGCATTTTAGCTTACCTCCATGAGAAGTTAGATTCCTTGAATAGCTAAAATGATGAGAACTGCCAATAGGTGAAAACATACTAAATATTCTGCATTTTATAAGCAGCACAGTATCACCAAAAAAACCAGAACCCCTGGACAAGTTACTTAACCTCTAAGCTACAATTCTATCAATTTTTTTAGATTAAAAAAAAAAGACTATCTATTCTCAAAAAAATGATATGAAGATTAAATGAGATAATCCAGATAAAGGAACACAGTGCCCAGTAATAAGTGCCTGACATTAATTATGATGCTGATGCCAGAATCTCTATGTCTTCCTGATTCTATCCTCCCTGAGTCATTACCTGACTAGTCTTACAAGTACTGGGCCTCAATTTCCTCATTTTTAAATTAGACAGTCATTTCTGAGGATATAGTTTTCTTAACTGTGTGTAAGAGATTGAATCAGGCATCTAAAAAGCCCTATATTAACTCCAGCAACTGAAATCTGTTCTCCTAGACATAAAATGAGGAAACTATAGGAAACCAAGGCCCCTAACATAATTTCACAACAGTGCAAAAATGAAGAGGCAGCAGATGGACCTGAGAGTGATTCGTTTGAACTGATATGAAAAGTAATAAAAACACCGGCAACACATAATGACCTGTGACTCAACATCACATCCAAATAAAAGGGCATATCTGTCAGTCACCCAGAGCCAGGGGCATTCAACAGATTAGTTAATACTTCATTAAAAAAAAAAAATTCCCCAAAACAGTAACTTAACATGGTAATCATTTTACCAAAACCTTTCTAAGCCTGGATCATCACCTGGGGTACAATATATGCCTCATCTAAAGGTACTTCTTGGTTGGACAAAGTGGCTCACACCTGTAATTCCAGCACTTTGGGAGGCCAAGGTGGGAGGATCGCTTAAGCCCAAGAGTTCAAGACCAGCCTGGGCAACACAGGGAGACTCGTCTCTACCAAAAAATGAGAAATTAGCTGGGCATGACGGAACCTGCCTGTAGCCCCAGCAACTCAGGAGGCAAAGGCAAGAGGACTGCTTGAGCCTGGGAGGACAAGGCTTCAGTGAGCCAAGACCGTGCCCCTACACTCCTGTGTGAGTGACAGAGCCAGACCTTCTCTCTTAAAAAAAAATTAAATTGCCGGGCACGGTGGCTCACGCCTGTAATCCCAGCACTTTGGAAGGCCGAGGCGGGTGGATCACGAAGTCAAGAGATCGAGACCATCCTGGTCAACATGGTGAAACCCCGTCTCTACTAAAAATACAAAAAATCAGCTGGGCCTGGTGGCGCGTGCCTGTAATCCCAGCTACTCAGGAGGCTGAGGTAGGAGAATTGCCTGAACCCAGGAGGCGGAGGTTGCGATGAG